TGTTATCATACTGATATCAAACTGATTTTATTCTAAAATAAACTTTACTCACACATGTTACTCTCAAGCTCACTGGGTTCATCTGAAATCTCCCTAGAGGAAGTGAGGTCTGACCTACAGCCTCAAGGACAGAGGCTCTAGAGGTGAAAGGAAGGATCCCTGAAGGGAGGTGAAGACAAGAGGTCACTGGGACAGGATATGATCACTGGCAGACCAATTTGAGAAGCAGAACACGGATAGTGCTCAGGGGGCAACTCGAAGAATGACTGGCAAAGCAGGGCCTTCACTCAGAAGCAAACAAGAGTCAGCTGACAGCACTGGACTGAGGATAGAATGTCTACTTCTGTCACTAGTTCAGTGATCTTCAAAAATGAGTTTATCTTGGGCTTCAATTTCCTCACCAGGAAAACCAGGATGTTGGCCCTGGAATCAAACTTTATATAGCTAAAGAAGTGTTGGTTCAAAGTATATTTAAGGGTCAGGAAGATCATGCCAGACAAGCAGAAGTTTGTTGGTAGAGAAGAACAGGGAATACTCAGCTTCAAACTCTAGTCTTTCCATCCTGTCAACCTGAGGAACACGAAGACACTAGAAAAAACACACTAGAAAAAGCAATCTTAAATAGCTGAGGCTCTGTTCAGCTCTAAAAAAACATTCTAGCTGGGGATTTAGCTCAGTGGTTCCGCCGCCTACCTCGCAAGCACAAGGTCCCAAGTTCAATCCCCGGTACCAAAAAAAAATTAAAAAATTCAAAATCAGTGCGAGACACTGCATCTTTATCCTTCACTTCTACTCTGCTTGATAACAACTCAATCATTCACACAACACCCATTCACTGAGTACCTATTAAATCTCAGGCACTACTGTAGGAGCCAGAAGACAGGTCTAACTGTACATACTCTTCCCTCTGAGGTTCAATTTCTATTGAAGGGAGAGAGAAATGAGCCAAGAAATTTACGTGTCAAGAGCAATAAAAGGAAATGATGGTCAAGTGTAATGAGTGGGGATGGACTGCTCCACCCATCAAAATCCTACCCATCTTCAAGTCAGGTTTCCATTCAGCCTTTTCCACCTCAGAGAATGCCTCTTCTCTGAAATCCTGCAGCACTTTGGACCACGAATAAGCTTCTGCCACTTGTTAGCTATTTCAAACTACTGGGTTGGGCTAAGACTGTAAGACTCTTGAGGCCACTATACCAGTCTTGGAAAGCTACTACAGTGCTATTCTGGCTGCATATGAGTAGCGCTCAATACCTGCTGATTGCTATGACAACACTGCCATTTTAGAATTGCAAATGCGTTCTTAATTCTTCCTTTTCTAAACACCACAAAGGAGAATTTTCATGTAACAAATTTACATAAAAAGGGCAGAATCAATTGAACAAACTAACCCAACAAAATAGGATATGGAAAGAAGTGAGGACCACCAAGTAGACAGCTCCCCTCCGGATCCCTTTTCAAGATCACCTCTTCCTTGAACTGGGCACTGGTTCCACAGCCCTCCACTCAGCCCATCACACGGCCTCAGGCTTAAAAACTGTCATGGGTACCTTCACCTGATATCACCAAGTTCCCCTCTTCTTATACCAGAAAAATGTGGATATTGGGGTTCTTTTAATGTTAGAAGGTCTGACAATCCCTAGATAAATTAGTTGTACTTTCATTATCCGTGACTGAGAAAGCACTTAAGACAAAAATACTACTGTGACATGAAGGTACAAAACAATGCTATTCACAACAGCCAAGAAGTGGCAAGAGCCAAAATCCCATCAATAAACAAATGCATAAGCATTTTTATGTCCACACAATGAAATATTTTTTAACCATAAAAAGCAATGAAGTGCAGATAAATGTTATAATGTGAAAACATGCAAAGTATAAGAGAGAAGCCAGAAACAGCAGGCTACCTATAGTATAATTCATGTATATAAAATAACCAGAGCAAGCAACTCCCGAGAGACTATATACATTAGTGGTTATTAAAAGTTGGGATACCAAGCAGTGCAGAGACTATAATGGATACAGGGTGCCCTTTGGGGGTGATGAAAATACCCTGGGAACAAGACAGTGGTGACTGGCTGCACACAATACTGAATATATTAAATGCCACTCAATTGTACATCTGAAAATCAGAGTTTTATGTATATTTTATCACAATGAAGAAATGTTACTGCAAATTCCATACACCTTAAAATAAATCTTTACCTACTCATCCGTAAAATTTAACTTGGAAAAGGGAACTACAAATGCGTGCAGGTGAGCACTCACTTCCTGCACAGTACCTGGTATGACTGCAGATGCTGGAACTCCAGCACAAGTGCAGCTAATAATAATGTTGTAATGACTAGCCCTTCCTGAACCGCACTGCTCTAAGTACCCACATTCTATCCTGTGAGATAAACACCCGTATTTCAAAAATTACAGGCACAGAGAAGTCACATATATTGTCCAAAGTGAGAGCTAACAGATGTCAGAACCTCAGAATTTGAATATGAAGCTAATCTTGTTTCAGAATGTAAGTTCTTAGTCACATCTCCACTAACTCACAATACACAGACCCAGTCCATTGTCTTCTATTACCTATATACCCGAAACATGACCATTCCACAGAGCCACCTATTCAGCCTTTGCATTTGCAGTATCTTCCACCTGGAGCCCCCATGTGACCTCAGTTGCTGGTGTCTTGCATCCTCTAGGCAAGCAGGGTGGTCTCTCTTCCCTGAAGGCTTCCATTAGGTAGAGGGAATGGGAAACAGGGCCTCTACAGCTCTAGTATTATATAACCTGCCTACCTTTCAACCTACCTACAGTCATGTTTGCAAACACTGAGTGCTCATTTTTGCCTGAAGACCAGAACTATTCCCCCTCCCCCTCTTCCCCCAAACCAAAGATGCCTTGTACTCTGCTGGTGAACAACAGGGAATACAAATCAGTGAACCACAAGGTCAGATTAACAGAATCATTTTGGCCAGCATAATGTTTCAACACCAGCATACAAAATCTTCCCTAGGGCACCCACTTCTGGTGAGCCACATGGGTGCTCGGTATCCTCTTGTGATCAGCAACTCTAGGTTGGTTGGCGAACCTGATCTAGCCATTAACTGATTCCTTTACACTCCTAGTTTTCTCCCTGTCACCATTCTTTTACATACTGTAAATCTCTGCTAGAAAAGATACCAAGAGATATGACTAAAACAGAATATCATCTGAATGTTCTTCATTTCTAAGGATAAAAAACCTCCTGTCATAGCTTGTGTCTAGTGCTGAGATTAAGGGTGTATGGTACTAAATTATTCCACTGACTGGTTTGGGATAGTTCTGGGTGTGGATAATGGGAAGGCCTACCCTGGGTGTGGGTGGAACCACCCAAAGCCTGTGTAGCCTGAATGGATATAAAGAGACAGAAAGAAGGCAGGCTGGCTATTGCTTCTTTACTACTTTGCTGCCTTCTGCCTACCATGAACTGTTTCTCCTCTGCAATGCCCCTCTGCATGCCACCCTGCCTCGGAGCCAGCTGAGCTGACCATGGGCTGATACCGCTACAAACTGTGACCTACAATAAATCTTCCCTTAACTTTGGGTGTTGGGAATTTTATCTCAACCTCAAGAAAAGTAACTAAGACAACTCCCTAGATAATTTCAAAGGTAAAAATAAAATCCTAAAATTGAAGTATCTTCAAACCACAACACACCCAGAAGAATTTCTAGGACAAAGGGTTCCTTTCTCAGTGCCTACACCTCTAGTCAGGGAAGGGGCCAAGGGGACACAGGATCACTGCTGTCAGCCACAACCCATGATTTCAGAGAAAAAGTCAAAGACCTTCGTTTTCTTTTACCTTTAAACTCAACAGCAAAACCAGACATTTGGATGGGCCGGGGATTTAGCTCAGTGGTTTCGCAGCTTGCCTTGCAAGGGCAAGTACCCGAGTTCGATCCCCGGTACCAAAAAAAAAAAAAAACAAGACATTTGGTGTTTGAGTTATTTCTATTCAGCTGACAACACACCTCAAATTCAGAGACTACACACTAAGACTGAAATGGAAGAAGATGCTCACTGAACAACATATTGTGCTTGACCATGACAAACAAAGGGACGCCAACCACATTTTTTCCAAAGCTTTGGCTCTCTAGCCAGATGATCACTGCTTGTTTTAACGTGCAGTCTGCAACCATGCTCTGCTAAACTGAAACAAGATGGCACCCTGGCATAATATAAAATAAGACCTGAGTTAATATTCAAAAATCTCAACAACAAAAAAAATACAAAGGTCTTAATTTGGCATGGAGTATAAGTACATTTGCTTGTGGGGAAAAAATTTTAAAGTCAAAATCCTGAACTATAAATATTTACCTTTAATAGAATCAAAACAGAAAACTAAACAACTGTTAAGATATTATGTATCAGCTGGACACAGCGACATATGATTAATCCCAGAAAGCTGGAAATTAATGCAAGAAGATCATGAAGTTGGAGCCCAGCCCAGGCAATGTAACAAGACCCTGTCTCAAAATAAAAAATAAAAAAGAGGGATGGGGATGTAACTCATTGTGAAGGCCTTCAGTTCAATCCCCAGTACCAAAAGAAAAAAAGAGAGAAGAAATGACATTATACATCATATACTGTACATAAACAACTTTGGCCTTCAGCCTTAGCTGAGTTTACTGAAAACTTGTATGTAAATCACATTTTTGCCTTCTTAACCACACTTGAAGTTTCAAAGCTCAACGGAGAATACTTTTGTAAACAATGTGCTTTTTTTTCCCCAAATGAAAACACATATGCCAGATATAATGAGATCCCTTTAAATAATCCCTTTATAAAGGCAATATCTGCACAGAAAACAAATCGCCTTATCTTATTCTCAGATCTCTTTGTGCACAAACCCAGAGCTGAGTTCCAGGCGAATTTCAGTAGAAACGTAGGCTATACAGGAAAGAAAGAAAATCATTTTTAGACGTTTAAGGGAGAATGTGTTAAGATATCATCAAATTGTACTTACTCCAGGTTCAACTTGACTTCGATCTGCAATATCTATATGGACAACTTCAACAGTTTTCCATGTGTTTGGATCCAAATCATGAACCTACAATTGACACAGAAATGAAACAAAGCAAACTCTAGTATTTCTGTTAGGTAGAACTATTACATGTACGTTTTTTAACTCCTTATAGTTCCCCAAAATAAAGGGTGGTGTGTATGTGTAAAGATACTGCCAAATGAAGAGAAAGATGTCAATATTATTTTCTGGTAGTCCTTAAGAAATAGCTTATACAGCCAAATTACCTTTAACCTGAATGATATACAATAAAGTCCTCATAACCTGCAGACACTACACTAACATAAGGTATCATTTAGACTTCAAGTCATATGATATGTAGCTAAATTACAAATTTTTTGAATTTGAGCCAGGCATGGTGGCACATGCTTATAATCCTAGAACTTAGGAGGCTGAAGCAAGGGGATCACTGCAAGTTTGAGGCCCGCCTAGGAAAGTGAGTTCAAGGTCGGAGTGAACTACATAGCAAGACTGTCTCAAAGAAAAAGAATTTGATCATCCTAAAGCTATTCATTTGCAGTGTGATGTCAACTCAATACTTCATGTTGGTCAATCATTTATTTCTGAAACTCTATGAGCCGATTAAGAGTTGTTTAAAAACTGCCAACAGATATGCCTACTTGAAAGCTAGAAATGGCAGATTAACTCATACATACATGGGTTAAAATGTATCAACTCCTTAGACCCTAAAATTTAGAGAATTACTAAAAAAAAACCATAAAACATTAAATGATCACTGAAAAGAAAACTCAAGTACTGAAAATTAAAAATGTGAAAGTTCTACTAACTGGCATCAAAAACAAAACAGCACAATAAATTTAGTCCCTATGTTCACTCTTCCATGGTGGTCTGCTGTAGGGTGTACTTCTTTTCCTTTTACTTGGCCCAAACTCGATCTACAAAGCCTGTTTCTTTTCCTACCTTTAATAAAATTTTATTATCATAAAAAAAAGCACAGTAAAAGAACAGTTAAAATTTACCATAATCATTAACTTATATTCCTGTTACAGTCTATCCTAAATTTGGAATAGTAGATCTCAAACTGGAACTTACACGAGAAAACAGACCGTGCTGAGCCCCACCCCCAGAAATTCTGATTCAGTAGTTCTGGGGTGGTCCCTAAGTACTGACTGCATTTCTAACAAGTACCCACATGTGCTACTATTCCTCCAGGGACACTTTTGAGAACCACCAAGCCAAGGGCATCAAAGTAAGGCAGACACCTTCCCAAGTTCCCCAATAATCCTTAATGATTACATTTCTTTGAGTCCCAGATAATGTCATTTCTCTGACTTCAACCCCTATCCCAGCAAACTGGAATGAAGGTGAAAATAAAAGCAATCCTGTTATGGTATGGACAACAGCTCTGGCAAATACAGAGATGAAACAACCTAAAAGTAATGGCTAAAATTGGGCTGGAGATTATCTATGTTCCATACTCTCCCTGTTCCAGATAAGAGTTGCTGATTAAAACGGCAATCTCAGGCCAGGGATTTGGCTCAGTGGTGCGTTGCCTGCCTAGCAAGCACAAGGTCCCGAGTTTGATTCCTGGTACCAAAAACAAACAAACAAACAAACAATAAAATAAAATAACAATCTCACCAAAGTTCACTCAAGTGCCAAGGCAAGGGAGCAGAGAAGGAAAGCACATTTGTGTCTGGCTGCCTTATTTGCCTCACTTCAAATCAATATGCCACAGCTTGATGTGACCAGGTGCTAATCTAATTAACATTACATCACTTTGCTAACATTCCCAAGTCTAGTTTGTGCCATGTTTGCTACCTATAACAATCCCTGTTTGCAGGAGATTTCACACTGAAAGCGTAGGGTTCAAACTTACATTTTCTAATGTTCCCAAGTCTGGTTTGTGCCATGTTTCAATTTTAATGAAGAAGTCATCTTTCATATATTCATTCTGCAGAAAACACAATAGGAAAAGGAAAGTGATCTTCCCCAGTTCTGAGGGGCTGGTGTCTGCAGAAGGATTCCCAGCACAAGCATGCAGGCTCTGATTCTACAAACAGGCCTCTCTTTAAGTGACACAGTCATGAGGTAGTTTTTACAGACTTGTCAAGAAAACTAAATGCTGCATGCTTTTAAACAATTTAAATAATCCTACTTGTCATGCAGCATACACAGCTAATAAAGAATCTGTGAGGTTTGGTCACCAAACCTAGCATATAAAGTAGGAAAAGCAAAGTAAAATCAATAAGGAGATTTTGAGACAAGGCTGGAAAAAGTCCATGAACTCTGAGAACTCATGGAGTATGGACTGGCGGAGAGCACAGGAGGCATGCAGCAGTGGGTAATTTTAATAAAAAAAGCCAAGAATGGTTGAAAATAATTACTGTGTAGAACAAAGTTTAAAGATGAGGAGTATTTGACAAAAATAGTTTTACTCACCGTTACAACTGAGGCATAATGGAGAGGCAGGCAATAAAACAGGAAAATTTTCAGATTAATTGGAGTTAAAATAATCTGTCCCAATATTTTATGTCACAAAGACTAACCTACCTGAAAACACAGAACATTTAGTAGCTTAGCCTTCAAAATAGTTTCTACATAAGTAACACCACTGGATACTTTACATTAGAATCCCAACAAAATATGGAGAATAATCAAACTTTAATAATGCTAAAGAGAATAGTACCACAGAAACAAAACACCATTTATAAAGTTAATTTAGCAAATAACAGGAAACTGTTTAGATATGTTACATCCCTCCCCTACCATGTGGGAATATAAGTAAAATATTGTTGCAAGTACAACAGAAGGTACTTTTAAGTACAGATGGCCTTTACGTATGATTTCTATATTCATGTGCTCACTCTTGAGCCAGCAAAGTCAAGGGGGACTCAAATGTGGCTGTTATCTGGGAACGAACCCATCCCCTTCACAAAGTTCTCAAGGAGAACCCCAATGCATCCACTCCTCTGCCATCACTAAAGCAGTGACTATCCAAGAACCCATCCAAGGCCATGCTTAGAGTACCCCTTAAGCTTAAAGGCCTTAGCACCAGAAGTCACTCTCCTTATCCTGGAGCTAAAGGGTAAAATGGCTGCTGAGGATCAGGCTTACTTGTTCTACAGTAGGGATATGAATTCCAGGCTTTCTCATGAAATACCAAGGAGCCTTCGGGAGCAATCATCCTCACGAATGTAGGAACTTTGCTGTGAAGAGAGATTGGACATATTTTCAATGATACCAGCAATTTTTTGTTGAAATGAGTGATATAATACTATTATGAAATGTGATCATGTTCTAAGTTTGTAAAGTATTCAAGACTTGATTTTTTTTGGAGACAGGGTCTTACTTTGTAATTCAGGCTAGCCATGAACGAACCATGTAGCCCAGGCTGGCTTTGAACTCAAGGTGATCCTCCTGGCTCAGCCTTCTGAGTGCTGGGATTACAGGCGTGCACCACCATGTCTATATTATGAAGTTTTATTTCAATCCCAAAGTATTAAGTGGAAAATTAATGTTAAAAATCTAGTTAAGAAAGTTTAGGGCCGGGGATTTAGCTCAGTGGTTTGGCCGCCTGCTGCGCAAGCGCAAGGACCCGTGTTCGATCCCCAATACCAAAAAAAAAAAGAAAGTTTAATTATATAGAAGGTGCTTTTTTACAGAAATAATAAATTTTTTGGTACTCACACTCGAACTCAGGACCTCCCACTTGCCAGGCAGGTGCTGTGCTGCTGAGCTACATCCCCAGCCTAAAAACAATTGTTTCTTAGAGGCTTCTGATCTTATCCCCTAAAGTGAAAACTAGGAGTTGACTAAAGCTACCAAGCCTGACATTAATACAAGATAGTAGTTCTCTTATGTAGATAAGACTACATTATGCAGTTTCATAAAGCAAAATAAGCCCGAGAAGAGAGAATATCTCTTCTGATGTACTTTTAATATATTTTACAGAACAGACCAAAACAAGTGACGATGTAAATGATGGTGTAGAAAATGAAAAATCGAAGCATATCCCAAGTATAAAATTCTTCAGGTAGTATAAGCAATGACTGTTACTCATTGCCTTAAGTATGACCAAAAGAAGGGTTAAATACATGATTAATACCGTTTTCAGTAAGCTTGTGCAAATTCCTAAAAGGAGCAAATCCAACAGACAAAAACATATCTACCAATATATCATGAAAACACTACATTAACAAATAAACAGAAAAATCAGTCTTGCTAGTCTTCAAAATGAATGCTTTTACTGAATGGAGCCTATTGTCAACAGAGTAGCTTCACACAAACTTGACTTATATCCCAACATCACCACTTAGAAGCTATAAGACCCTGGGCCTATTACTTGACTCTTCTGAACCTCCAATGTGCTGAATAGAGTTTGTAATACCTATCCCAGTTACTGAAAGAATTGAATCACCTAAAAATCCATAATGTATCTAGTGCATCATGCAATACAGTAAGAGCTCAAAAGATGGTACTAATTTTAAATTATAAACCGACATGAAGCTAGGTATATTCACATGCTTTCTTTAAATATTTAACAACTGCTTCAGCAAGAGAAGGAACAAACTAAGAAAATATGGAGCACAGTAAAGTCTTCTAGCTCTGAACTGAGATTACAGAGTTGGCCAGAACTACTATGTTGAAGTTTGGAGACTAAGCAAGGTACATGGTGAGGAACCTCACACCAGCCAGACAGCTGTGCGGCAGCTGTGAAGAGGAGGTGGTGTAGACAATCTTTTCCTTCCAGTTCTCACACATTTGGCCCATGGTACATAAGAATGCATGAACAGTTTGCAAATTTTAGTATTCTGGCAAATTATATCACAGTAAAAGAAAAGTTAACGTACTATTACATATGGCAGTGCAAGTGAGATTCCAGGGGCATAAAGATGTTTGTTTACACGTGCCTTCATATCCTTCAAACATAATAATGAGGAGGGCCAATTCTTTGATGATTTGTTCTTTTCAAATTGAGGAATGATTCAAACTTCAGAAATATGAAGCCAAGATGACCGAAAATAGTATTACCTTAGAAGTCAAAGAACATCCAGCACCAAAGCCTTCTCACATTGCTAAAGAACTAGAACCTACATCTCTTTAAATATGAGTGAGGTGGAATTAAGGTACAATACAATAACACAGGTAACTGAACACATGCTACAAGATTGCTGATTCATCTGAGAGAATGACAAACATCTATCAGTAGTTCAGCTGAATAACTCAGAAAAGGTAGACCAAAAACAACTATGCAGCTATGTTTGCTCAGAAACATATTTTCACTGCCTTATAGTGAAAGACTTCAATGCTTACAAATGTTCTGAAGTGAAAATGTCCTAACTTTGTTAAGTCAAGGGGGAGGGCGGGGAGAGACAGTTAGTAAAGGCCAACAGTAGGAAGCATATCTACAGGAAAGCTTTAATATTTCTTCAACTTGATTTCACTGCCTACTATCTTATTATCAGGATACTTTTTCTAACCTGTGAATTCCAATATTTCACTTTTGTTTTGACTTAGAATTAAAGTCCAACTCTTTCGGCTTTTTTTTTTCTTTTTCAAACTTACGTTTTTTTACATTTAACATCAGAATATTAACAAATATACCTCTCCTCAATGAATCTAAGTAAATGAGTAAACTTGGCAAAAATACATAAAGGAAAACTTAATTTCAAACTTACCATAAAGGATAGAAATTTTCATTAATATATTGCTACTCTTAATATATTCCTACCAAGGCAATTCAGGTGTGCCATTTATATATGATTGAAAACAATATTATGTATCATTTTTGCATCTCAGTACTGCTCAGGAAGTTACAACAATGCAGGACATGGTGTTTTGGAAGCTTGGCAAGCCTCAGAAAAGGGACAAATATAAAATGAATTTACAAAATAAAGCTAGGCCTTCAAAAATTAACACAGGTAAAGGACATTCTCTCTTCCCACAAACTATTCACAAAATGGTGTTCTCTCATGATAAACCAACATTTATCACAGCACTTCCTTCAAGGTAATGAAGGTGTTGAAGAGTGACCCTCATACACACCAACATGCCCAAAGGTGTCAAGGCTTTTTAAGAATACATAACCCTTCTCCTACCTGACTCCCAATGCACTCTAAGAATATTTAACTACAGGATACAATTCTACCAGTGTTTGATTCCACTGTGTTGAGAGGAGATACTACTAAGATCTCACTTCAATGTAACAATGGGTGTTTGTTTTGAGGCAAGGCAACTCTGTCACGGCTGTATAGGAAAAATAAGGGCTTATACAGCTTTAAAAATAAATAATAAATGACCATAAGGTATACTAAACTTGACCTAGAACATTCCTTTTTTAAAATCCGATCCGAGATAAACAATACCTTGGCAAATCATTCCAAACTGCATTTTTCTCTTGAAATTGTTATATCTATCTGTGAACAGTAAGTGAAAGTGTTGAAAGTTCCATTTTTCTACCCTTTTCCATTCTATGTGGATATCAAAATATCACAATGTAGAAAAATATAGGGAAAACTTTAAAGACAAAATTAACCTGTCATAAATGAAGCAATGAATCTTTCCCTTGGTAATCAAGTGAAATATACCTTAAATACATTGGGCACGTCATTGTATTATTCATTCAAGTATTTACTGAGTGTGTCCATTGTGATAGAGGCTATGAAAATAATGGTGAACAAATGGACAATTCCTACCCAGTTCTTCCCTTGCAGGAAGGAAACAGGAATGACTAGTACACAACAGAGGCAAAAATTTTTACCTCTCCTACAATGCAATGAAATACAATGCAATGAAATAAGGAACAGACTACTAAGCAAGTCAGTGGGGCAAGGGTGATGAGAAAAGGACCCTGAGAAAATAACATTACAGTGGTCATCAAAGGGAGTGGAGGCAGAGGACATCACAGCAAGCAGGCAGAGGAAACAATGTGGCCAGAGGGCAAGATAGCAAAAGGCCTGGCCAACAGGACTAGACTGCAGTGATGAAAGTAAAAGGCCAGTTGGTAAGGTATGGAGAGAAAGACAGATGACATGGGGCCAGGCCTGCCTTACAGACCAGAGAATGAATTTCATTTTTTGTATGATGAGAAGCCACTGAAGGTTTTATGAAGGGAATGATACAACCTGATAAAAGTACTAAAATCATCCCAAGGGTTTGTGGAAAATTACAATGAACAAGAATGGATGGTGGCAAAAATTAATTCAAAATGGGTAAGACTTAAATATGAAAATACTATAAAATAAGAAGAAAACATAGATATAAATCTTTATGACCTTGGAATAAGTAAGTTTCTTAAAAACTATGTTACAGCTTAGATCAAGAATTCCCAAGGTACCTGGGATTTTTTACCTCAGTGGTGCCACCGGCTGCTTCTCAAGCTCAAGGTCCTAAGTTCAATCCCCGGTACCAAAAAACAAGAATTCCCCCTAAAGCCTCATGTGAAAAGTGGGGCTTTATGAAGTTGACTTGATCATGTGGGTACCACACTCCTTATCACTGGCTAAATTCACCATGTTTCAGCATCTGAGTGTTCTGCTGGGAGGTGGGGTCTGGTAAGAAAGGGCAGATCACTGGGCATGTGCCCTGCGTTCTTCTTCCTCCCTGCTTCCTAACAGACCTGATGTGAGCAGCTTTCCTCCAACAAACCCTTGTGCCATGCTGTTTCTGCCTGGAGCCAGCCAACTATGAACTGAAACTTAAACCTTAAGTAGTCGGGTGTCAGGTATTGTGTCCCAGAGATAAAGTGACTAGGACATTAGATAGAACACCAAAAGCATAAAAAAAAGAAAGAAAAAACTGGCAAACTGGACTTCATCAAAATTACTTCTAACTTTTCCTTTAAAAGATACTGTCAAGAAAGTGAAAAGATAATTCACAGAATAGGTGAAAAATGTAAATGTGCAAATCACACATCTGGTAAGGGATTAATATCCAGAATATATAAAGAACTCTTACAGTACAATAATAAAGGAAACAAAAATGGTTAAAAGATTTAGCTGGATGTGGTGGTGCACACCTGTAATCACAGAACTTGGGAGGCTGAGGTAGGAGGATACCCAGAGTTCCAGGCCAGCCTAAACTTATAGTAAGACCCTGTCTCAAAAAAAAAAAAAGATTCATATACTCTCCAACTATAAACGTAGATGTCATTAACCACAAAGATGCGCAATATCATCAATCATGAAGAAAATTCAACTCAAAACCA